CTTTCCTTATACAAAACCAATGGTCTTAAATGACAAATAAATGCATTCTCCAATTATGGGTCGATCTGAGCAGGCTCCGTAACAGGGCTATTAAGGGGAATGACTTGCAAGTCCCACACGTCCAAAGCCTTTTCCAATTCCTGCAATCCCAATTTTAAAGTTACAAAAGGTCCTCTAGAGACTTTTGCTACATTTACCTAAGAACAAACTGACGACTATGAGGGTCCCAAGCGGTGGCAAACACTACAAAAGCTTTGATAGGAAAAAAAGCAAAAAGTAAATTGTTGAAACTTTATATTTCCTCAATAGAACAAGTTCTCTATGCTATCCATTAGTACGCTAAGGCCCGTTTGAGCCTCATTTTTGGTGTAAAATGCATTTTGAAATAGTAGGTAGATAGAGAATATGCGGTTACAAATAAGAAAAAAAATTTGAATCTGCGAGTAATATTATTTAATTGAAAAATGTGTGGTTAAAAAGACGAAAGAGAAACATGTACTTTAAAAACAATGGTGATCAAACAAGGGCTAAATAAAGCATCAAGAACTGTACTTTACATCAACAATCAACGAAACAGTGTTTGATAAAATCAAGGCATTCGGTGCAGATAAGAAATCTGATTTAAGACTCCTCATAACTCAAAGGGAATACACATTCGACCATCGCAATCCTGCATCAGTATTCTTTTGTAAAGATAAACTCGTCTCTCAAACCTTCTGTCTTCCACTCCAAATTGACCCATTTTTTTATTTAGTTGAGACTAACATCACCATGAGCTAATCACGAATGACTAGCCCGAGTTAATGAACCCATCCTTTCTCTTTTTATTACTAGTATTTATTATAGGATTTTGCTAGGACTTCGTTGGCTTTTTCCAAATGGAAATGTGAATTTTGAAATCAACGGTAGCCAAATTTCTCATTAGTTTAATTAGCATAGTTTAATATATTCTCTACGCTTGTATATTTTTAGGCTCTTTAGAAGTTAATAGAATACTTAAAAATCAGAGCTATGAACACCCTTACTCTTTTGAAATCAATAGAATACTATTCTTGTACACCAGTCATTGGAATCTATATGATGAGAGGAGACAAAGAAAATTTGGACTCGAACATAAATCAAATTGTTATTATATATTTACTTAATAGTGAAATCGTTAAGCATCCAATACTTTTGTCATATCTCCAAACTCAAAATTCTTAACTTCGTCACCTTATATAGATAACTACTAGATTACAGTGTTTTAGAAGGTTAAAAATTTTAAAATCATGTTAGGTCAAAATCAATCCATTACTAGGCTGAAAAATCATAGCGAAAGCGTTGCTAGGGTAAGTCAAGTAATGCTATTTAGCATCACTGGCATTACAATACCCGTCTAGGTGTTACTAAGTGGCATTAAATTAGATATACGATTAAATGAGTTACAGAATTCTACTTTTAAGTGAATACATCAAACCATCTAAACTGGTGCTGTAATATCGATGATGTTAAATAGTATTATAAGATTAGGTAGTGAGAGTAGCGGGTTAGTCAATAGTTGTATATCAGGAGGTTACACCAATCATGAATGTGTTTGCCAGGCACCAAATGTCTTAATGTGAATTGGACATTTCCTTTCCTTCCTTTGAGTTGTTTTTTTTTTTTTTTTGATGGAATTTTTCCTTCCTTTGAGTTGTTAAATGTTTCTTTTTGGATCAATAATTAATAACACTTTCCAGTTCATTACTTTTTTCCTTTGCATATTGGTGACTAAAAGTAGAAAAATAATAACAATATAAAGAGGTCTTTTTAGATAGATATGTTTGTCGGACAACAAAAAATTATGTCTTATTTTTTATGTAAATAAATTATAGAAAATATGGCTTTATTTACAGAGTTGTATATGTTAAGGTAAAATCTTACATCAGTCGATTATGAAACAATCAATCTATAAGGAGTTGACACGTCACTTGAAAATGAACAATCAAACATATAAAGAGGTGATTATTTCTTTTAATAAAATCGACCTTTTAAAATAGAATCTAAGTAAAATTCAAGAAATGTAAATGAGCAATTTGATCTTTTTAAAATTCAAACAAATTGTTGAATTTTAAGATTGAAGTACTAGAACGAGCTATAGGAAATGCAAAGGATAGTAGGTACCTTGGGTACCTTTTAACTACCTTGTATGAGTATGTTAAGAGTAAAGTTTCATACAAAGTTAGTTACCTTTTAATATGTAATTCAAGATTCAACAATAAATAACATAAAAAGAAACAAATTATAAGCTCACATAAATCTTCATATAAGTATTACACAAACATGCATTTATAAAACTTTCATTGGTTTCGTTTTCGAACACAACTTCAACTCGCTTGAAAGGGACTAAATTGGCAATTAAGATAACAGAGCGTAGAAGGAAAATTAGAAAGGTTAACGAGGAAAGAGTTGCATGACTGCGAGAAAGGCTTTAGATGAGTAATTGAGTGACCGTCGGCTCTTTAAACCTTAACCCACCTTCCTAACCCGTTGTCATAGGCTTGCTTCCCTCTGTTTGTTCTTTCTTTCTTTCCTT